TCCAGGCTCTGAGCCATCAGTGCAGAGCCCAACATGGAGCCCAAACTCACAAACTGTGAGATCATGACCTGAGCTGAAGTCAGACGCTTAACCAACTGAGCCACCCAGGTGCCCCAATCTGATCATTTCATTTCCAGCTTAAAAACTTTCAATGACTCCTTCCCCTCCCTTTGCATACATCCCAAACCCTTGATCCTTGGCTGTGCAGTTCCTGTCTTCTGCCTCCATCTCTGCCTACCACACGCTGGCTAGCTCAGCCACACAGGACTTAGTCCTTATTTCATAGCGTCTATATGGGAAATGCCCTCTGATCACAAACTTCTTACCTTATTTATTGGTCATGATCTTACGGTTTACACACATTTATAATGGAATATTATTCAGCCTTAAGAAAGGAGATTTTGCTGTTTGTAACAACATGGATGAACCTGGAGGACATTATGCTAAGTCAAATAAGCCAAACATGGAGAGAAAATAAAAGAAACAGCATGATTTCACTTACATGTGGACACTTTATTCATAAGTGTTCAATGATTGACTTTATTTTTCTGATTTTGAAACATCTAATAATATGCATTTTTGTCCTAATTTTGGTGGTAAAATACCTTGGGGTCCTGTGGACCTCAAATGTTTGCATCTGTCAACCTTTAAAAAGGTGTAATTTTTTTCTTCCTACATTAAGTTATATTGTCTGTGTTGAAATACTAGGATGTGATTATATCTGAGCTTTGACCTGAAACACCCCCCCAAGAGGGGTGGCATCACTCTCCAAGTGTTTGAAATCTGGCCTTTACCACCCCCCACCTTTTTTTTTTTTTTGAGAGAGAGGGTGCAAGTGAGCGAAAGGCAGAAAGAGAGTTAGGGAGGAGAGAAAGAGAAAGAAGCGGCCTCACCTGAAGCAGGGCTCAAGCTTACCTGATGTGGGACTTGAACTCATGAACTGTGAGAGATGACCTGAGCTGAAGTCAGATGCTTAACTAACTGAGCCACCCGGGTGCCCTCCAGTCTTTACTTCTTAATTAAAAAACAAAGGATTGGAGTATAAACAAAAGCAAACTGTACACTTTTGTTGGTTATTGAGGAGTCAGCTTGATCAGCTTGAGGAAGTATTCTGGTGGTTTGTTAACGTGACTGATTTTCTGGTTCCCCTCCCCTCTGCCAGTGTCTTGCTTACCTGATGGGAGTGCCCTGGAGCCCGATCACTACTTCTCCACCATCAGTTCCAGCTTTTCAGTTTCTCCTCTTTTCAATGGCATCACCTATAAGGAATTCAGTATTCCACTAGAAATGCTTCGAGAACTCTTAAACTTGGTAAGGAAAGCTTTGGTGGAACAAGAGATCTTGTGTACATCTAGCAGTAAAATTGCTAGTGGTGTTGGCCTGTGTTTTTTTTTTGTTTGTTTGTTTTTTTAAGAAAAACTAGGAGATTTTCAGTATTTCAGAACACCAGTTAGAAGTCATAAATTTTCGATTAAGGAAGGAAGGAGAGTAGTATTCGTGGAGTCATTTGTGTGCTATATTGTCACTGAATCCTTGCAGCACTTGTGTGGGAGAGGCAGCCATTCATCCACATTTTAGAGGTAAGGCAGTCAGTGCCAAATACATCAAGGAACCATAGGCAAAGGGCAGAGATAGGGCTCAGCCCAGGGAGTCTGATCCCCAGTCTAGTTCCTATTACACCTGACTCCCTCCCATGCGCTGCTCTTTTTAGATCAGTACAAAACCTAAATTTTTCATATTTGGGTATCTAGGAATGACTGCTGAAGTGAAGTCAGAGAAGACATTGGTGCCATTGTCCCACTCCCAAAATAGATGGGTCTTTGATCCAGGGACTCTGAAGGTGTTATGATTGAGCTGGGTTGCTTCAAAATAGATTCAAGTGGGTAGGTAGGGGTGGAGATGTTATCAGGGACAGACCCTAAAGATGGGATTTTCTGTTTTGGAAAGAATGAGAGGGAACAAGGATGACACTTTTGAAAGCACAAAGCATGTGCCGGAGAGAGCAGCCATCTCCTTCAGTGTAGCATGTGAACAGAAGTCACTCAAAAAGGATGGCTTTAGGCTGAAGATGTAGGAAGACATTAAAGCATTGGCAATAATTACTGAGGATAGAGCCACAATGAATTACTAATTGCATGTCCCAGATGGAACATGGCCTGGGTGGCCTTCTCAGATGATCAAGTGACTTTCAAGTATCATGTCAAAAATCCCAACTGAAGGCTGCATGTTTCAGACTCTTCATAGAGGAAATTATTTTTTCCAGTATATTTTAATTTCTCAAGGTTAGCTTTTCTTCTAGGCAATTTTTCATTTCTTCTCCTGGAATGTTGTTTATCATTGTCTGTACATTAAAAAAAAATCTACTTCTTTAAGTACTACCATGGGGGTGGCGGGCTGTTTTTACCCAGACGTTCCATGGTTGACAGAATGGTTCCTTTCTGTACTAAGAGCTGGTACAGAGACCGGGTAGAAATAATATCTTCTGTTAGAATGTATGCTGTACTCTGAGTACCTAGGCAGCTTCAGATGAGCCAGTGCACGAGGCCTGTGGGAAGAGGCAGAGTCATCAGGGCTGAGGACCATCTGTGAAGGTGTCCCTGATGTCTGGGAGAAGGTTTGGATAAATTGTTAGTGATGCCGAGTCTGAACACTTTCACATTCTGGAAATGGAAATCTAATGTCAGCAAATTTGAGGGAGTTGGTTCCTTTCCTGCTTTTATGTTATTCCCAATCGAGGGCAAGAAAACACATCCAAGTGATGGCAGAATTAAGGACATTTTGTGTGTGTAGTTTGATGTGGAGCTATCATGAGTATATTGCTGGCCAGTCATTTCCATCCCATTTTTCACGCTCGTTCTGTGGATTTATCTGTCAGCATGATTTGTTCTTTAGTTGAAGGAGCTGCCATTCCTGTCTCTCACTGTGTTCATCAGGTGCCTCATGCGATCCTATTTCCCTAATAGGTGAAGAAGATTGTCGAGGAGCCTGTTCTCAAGTCCTTGGATGCAGTTGTAGCCAGCGTGATAGAGGTACGTCCCTTTTGAGGGCGCCACCCTGAGGTCAGCCTGACATGAACTTGTGCATGGAGAGAACAGGAAGGGTGTTTTTTTGGGGGGGGCGGGGGGGGATAGGGCGGGTGGCTGGAGAGACAGGCTTGTCAGTGAGTTTCCAGTT